GCAATATTTCACCATCGCCATTTTCACTTTGCCATTCAGTGCCCTCGACACATCTTGTCGAAACATTTCAATAGCACTTAACTCTGACATATTGCATGCCTTTTTCAATCTGAATTTCAGTCGTTGCTGAAATTCGTTCAGATTTTCAACCGTCCTTATTGTGAGATATCGATTGCTTTCCATTTGATATTTGTACTTTTTGATCTCTTTAATGATTATTACTTTATAGTCACGAATAAAGCTCCTTCTGAAAGGTTTCATAATTTTTTATTGTATCGTTTTATAGCCGGAACTAACTGAAATTCTTAAGACTTAAGGATAAAGCATCAAATAATATTTAATTCACCTCTGATCGTTAGCAATAAGGAGCGACCTCATAAAGCAGAAATTGCATCTACATGGGAAATCGAGTGTCTTGCAGCAGAAATTGGATGAAGAATTTGCATGAACTGAAGTGAACGAATAACCGAAATCGATGCAATTCCACTCATAGTTTTTAGTAGACATTGATCGGTTGCATTTATGAGTGTGAATTGATGCATTTGATTTATTGTCATGTTTTTTTTCGCCTTCTCGACCGCTACTCTTCTCGTTCAAGATCAGCATCACGACCTCAATCACTCAGAAAGTATTGAAACAGAAGCAAATGGTTAGTTGAGCAGCATTTTTATGAACTGTTTGTAGCAAACACGTGAAACTGGAGTAAAATAGCATCCTGCTTTCGATATGAGGCTTTAATTTGCATGAAAGATGAATTTTGTCAAGTAAAGATCAAAGGATTGACTCAGCCAAACATTGCTCTTTTCATGGACAAACAGATTTCTTTCCGAAAATTTCAAGCTGCTTAGAATTGTGTACCATATGTTCCGTACACCTGAAAATGCCTAAAGTAAGTATTTGGGCTGAACTATTGCATAAATTTTAATTTGTTCGTCGCGATAAGTTCAGTTCGGTGTTCCCATAAGTGTTCAGCAACGAATTCAGACATTGAAATTTTAAGCGTCATTTCCTCTCGAAATTGACCAAAGTTCAATGAATGAAACATTCGTCGATGGTGTCGAATCAGCTATGAACCGCTACGTTGGATTTATTGTGAGTGCCATGCTGCAATCTCCGAATCGAAAACGCAACTCTTCGATTACCTTTTCCATTCTTTGATTAATCAATGAATTACGCCACACAAACGTAAATTTCAGATGATCGTATTCTACGTGACGTTCGTATGTCTAGTAGTTCTACTTGATGGACTCATTCCACGCATCAAAGAACTTTGTTTCACCGTTAACGAGAAATCCGATTCATTCGCTGCAGATGAAGTACGTCTAATGCCACACAACCTACCACCAATGCAAATCGCTCAGCAAACACCATTCTCACCTGTTCCACCAACCTCATTCGTACCTACATCACCGATAGAACAATAACATGTCCTCGTCATTGTTATCTTCTTAGTTTCAACATATTAAAAAAAACGTCTGTGAATTGACCAGTAACTTGCTTCAAATTATTTTACGAAATAAAACATTACTCACCAGTGGATTACTTCAGTAAACCTTACTTGCTTCAAAATAGCTAGGCATGTAGAACCAGGCAACACGACGTGCACTTTTCGTACACAATCTCTTACATAGAAACCTCATTCTATCCATCATTGATACGAAATAAATATATATTTGTATTTGTATGTTAAGGATGTT